GTTGCGTATATCGACCGATAACCGTTGCCACGCATGGTTGTCACCGGAAGCTATTGTAAGGCTGCTCGCGCACCCGGCTACTTGTGGCGGCCACTAGAAGCGGCCACGCGTAATTTATAATAACCCTTAGCCGAAACTAATTGTGGTCGCTACTAGACGCTACTGTAAGTCTACGTCCACACCCGGCCACTTGTGGTCGCCACTAGAAGCGGTCACGCATAGTTTATATTGACCACTAGTTATCGCCACACGTAGTCGCCATTAGATGCTATTGTACGGTCGCTCGCACATTTGGCCACTTGTCGTTGCCACTATAAACTGTCAATTGTTGCTTATACCGACCGATAACCGTTGCCACGCGTGGTTGCCACTGGAAGCTATTGTAAGGCTGCTCGAGCACCCGGCTGCTTGTGGCAGCCACTAGAAACGGCCACGCGTCGTTTATAATAACTCCTAGCCGAAACTACTTGTGAACGCTACTAGACGCTACTGTTAAGTCCACGTCCACACTCGGTCACTTGTGGTCGCCACTAGAAGCGGTCACGCGTAGTTTATATTGACCATTGGTTATCGCCACTAGTAGTCGTCACTAGATGCTATTGTAAGGTCGCTCGCACATCTGGCCACTTGTCGTTGCCACTATAAACGGTCAATTCCGACTTACATCGAGCGGTAGCCGTAGCTACGCGTGGTTGCCACTGGTGGGACCTATTGTAAGACCGCTCGCACATCCGATCACCTGTTATTTGCCACTAGAAACGGTCAATTGTGGGCGGCAGCATTCGCCACGTATAGTCGTCATTAAACGCTACTGTAAGGCCGTTCGTTCGCTCGACCACTAGTGGTCGCCACTAGAAGCGTTCACGAATTACAGCCACTAGAAACGGTCACTCGTGGCTTATTCCGACCGATGACCGTGATGTGTGTGAGCAGCCTTAATAGTATTGCTGAGCGCGCAACATCCGTTGCATTTTGTTTTACTCTCACCGAATGTGGAAGGATCTCTGAAGAAGTTTGCCACTAGTGATAGCGAAACGTTAGGAAGCAACTTCAACCGATGACGGGCCGCGAAAGTCTTTACCAAGTTCTTTATCACAAGTTTCTGTAAATTCCTATAAAAGCTGTAGATATGACATTAAGTTATAAACAATTGATTTATATTCTTCATTTGTTTCTGAGTCTTGAAACTTCGGTCTAGACGAAAATCGCTCGAGGAAAATAAACAAACAATTGAGATGCATACGTGCAATCAGAATAACAATGAATCATTTCGAATGCAGTTTCTAATTTTAATATCACCGTCAAAGAGATCGTCTATCGCACGTACAGGAATACAAATGGCTCGGTTAATGAGGATGACACCCTATTACCATATCATACAACACTTTCGACGATAGACAAAAGACGCCGCCGAAAATAAAAAGAATGTCGGAAATTGTTTGTTTTTACGAACGATTAAACGCTTGAGCGATTGCCATGAACAAAAAAAAAAGAATCAGATTGGTTTTTCTGTTGTTACCTATTCTTGTGTACTTTTTAAAAACCTTGCCCCAAATAAAATATAGAACATGCATAAGATACTAACGTCCAATAAATTTAGTTATTGCCACTTATTAATTAATTTTTCGCAAACTGCAATTAATAATCAGAACAAAAATCATTTGAATTTATTGTTATACGACGCGCAACACTAATCGTAAAATGAGTTCTTGTTAAGGTTTTGTTAGTAACTTTTGCTTTTTTACAATTATGCTTATGGAATTACATACATATTTGTTTTAAAATCGGCCAATAAAGTCATCAATTTTTGTTTGTTTCTTAATCTTTAATTTTTTGTTATGTATTAAGATGTGTTAATTGTTGAATTCAATAAAAACTGAGTTCTTATTTAATAAAAAAGAAAAACTATTCTAATACAGTTCTTCGAGATGGGATATTATTGCTAGTTTTGTCCGCTACGGGCGTCAAAGTTCATTTGGCTATTGTGGCTAATTACTGATCGATTTTGATGACTGAGCAATGGATTCCTATATATTTTGACTCCTTCTTATCCTGAGCTAATATTCGCATTTCCCTAAAACTAGAACAACCCAAATCCTGAGCTATTTAAGAATGGTAATCTAATCCAGGTCTACCTCTACTCCTCTTAACTCCTGTTTCTGCTTCTAATATGTCTCTGACTAGACCTTCATTCCTGAGAGGGTGTCCTACCAACCTATCTCTCCTATTTCTTATTGACTTCCACAGAGTCCTCTATTCTCCTATTCTTTCCAATACCTCTTCATTTCTAACCTTCTCTATCCACGGTATCCTAATCATTCGCCGGTAACACCACATTTCGAACGTTTCTGACCTTTTCTCTTCTGCAGCGCCCAGTGTCTGTTTCGCACCCGTAAAGCGCCGCGCTCCAAACATATACCTTTAACAAACATTTTCGAATTCCTAAATTAACCGTTCGCGAGCGTAGAAGTGACTTCTATTTATTGAAGGCGACTCGATCCTCCGCTATTCTCTGCTTTATATCCCTACTACTCCTTCCGTCTTGACTTATCTGACAATAGTACTTGATAGCAAATAGTTGTGACTATTCTATCTGGAATAATCTCTGATAATCCATCTCGAAGGACAAATGTAATTCGCTAATGGAATTAATTTTGTTTGAGAAAGTACTTTCAAAATTTTCTAGATTTCGGTGAACACATCAGTAGGTCACCCAACTTCAATTATGTACTTTGTAGTGTTAAAACGTTTTATTTTGAAACAAATAAGTGACAATTGTTATCCTATCTTGTAAGTCCATTTCACAAACACCCTGTAGATATATGTACATATACGATCGCATTGTTTACCCACGCTCTATCAACCATTACGGACATGTGTGCAACTTATTTTATATCACTTTCCGTAAACGATCAATATTATTGTTATGCATCATGATACAATGTATATCCGAGCCGTTCACTTTTTCCCTCATGCACAATGACTTTAGAGACTCTTAAAGCCCTGACACGGATTTTTATGCGAAAAGCAAATCTTATTATCGGGCATTTGTTTTCTTTAATAAAATTTTTGTACCTTCTTCGCTTATCGTTTTTTTCTTCGTCTTCTGTTTCTTATCTTTTGTTTTCTCTTTTTATTTTTAATGTGAAACATCTTTTCTTGGGGCGTACGCGGAAAAATTCTCGTGTTTCTAACGGTTCTTTGAACATACGTACAAGATTTTCCCAAGAAATTTGATCCTATAGTGACCGAAATCACAATCTATCACAAGTAACAGTAACAATTACAGACGGCGTCAGCGCCATCTGTTTAAATTTTCCAGTAATTGTGAGATGAATTATTATTGTTTGGCAAAATCTTTTCCAATTAAGAACATCGACTTTTCCTTTTACTAACAATCTTTTAAGACATTTTGATTTTAATCCTTCACATTTACTTTCAAACTTCAAAGACGCTGTCAAGCTACATTCCATCCCCCTAACTTTTAAATTATGAAAAAAATTACGATAAAAGTCCTTAATTCAACCAATACAGTAGCAGAGATGGTTAATGAAAACTTTAGAAATACATAACCTATTTTTCCTAAGTATATCCAAACAAAACTAACTAAAAATTAAAAACATCCTACAATGATCTTGATGACTACTTTCGATTAAAACTCATTTGAGTATCTTCCTTATTCTGCGTTAATTTTTGAGTAATTACGTCGAAATTAGACGCGATCTTTATTATTTATTCACTTTTCATTCTCGTTTTTCTTTTGTTTTCCTTTATCTCGCAATTGCATACAAATCCGTTACACGCAACTTTGACCTATTTAAGTCTTTAGCAAATAGAGGAAAAATGTCAAGCATTGTTTGAGTGACCGTTAACTCGAGATTTATCCATAGGTCACTTACTAATATATCGTATTAGACGATATATCTGTATATTTTTAAGCGAACGATTTCTTTTATGGTTATAGTTTGTTTGTAGTATTTGATACGAAAAGATAACGGGAAAATAATTATCTTCTAATGTTAAAACTGTATCGGGTAATTTATTGCGTTTTGATTGAAGTGGCTCGATCAATTGATTTGAATTATGGAGCAATGAAAGTTGTTAATCACGCAGCTGGTACACGTTCACATTACTAACATATATTTAATCGAAGATAGAAGTACATATATTATATAATAAAATAATTCGAAGTGGTCTGTATTCTGTCGAAACTGCCAGACGCAGATCGCGATTTCGATCTTTTTGGATCTCATCAGCGCGTCGCAGGCAGCTCCGACAGAACACAGACAAAATTTTACCTGCTGTCTTAACAGTGTGTTTTAAAAAATACCACAAATGGCGCTGTAAACGCCATCTGTAGTACAGTGCTACATTTTAGGATTACGTATGCTCCAACAAGGTCCATTTAAATATATGGATATCTACTTGTTGAAACGAATCCCGGCGTAGCTCACCTCAACGTGGTAGGCACGTTAGCTTAATCGAATAAAATAATTCGAAGTGGTCTGTATTCTGTCGAAACTGCCAGACGCGGATCGCGATTTCGATCTTTTTGGATCTCATCAGCGCGTCGCAGGCAGCTCCGACAGAACACAGACCAACTTTTGCCTGCTGTCTTAACAGCGCGTTTTAGAAAATACGACAAATGGCGCTGTAAACGCCATCTGTTGTACAGTGCTACATTTTAGGATTACGTATGCTTCAACAAGGTTTAAGGCGTTTACAGCGCCATTTGTCGTATTTTCCATATATTATATGTTTAAAAATTGTTAACATGTAGAAGACCGTAGCAATCAATTTTGAACAAAATAAATCAACCGAAAACTTTAAGATAAAAAAACGAATGAATTTCTTTTCAAAACTAACGTAAAATCTCCGTTCATTCTCAAGCCTCGTCAAGAGATGTTACAAATCCAAAAAAAAAAATGGACACATTTTACGGTTCTCCCTAGAACGGAACCCGAGTTTGACTGCCACTTGACCACGTTATTCTTTTACAGGCACCAATTCGATCAATCATCATGGTTACATACGAGAAACCTCTACCAACATAAGCAATGTCACTAGTCAATTATACTAATCCCTTCGCGGCGACCCCAAATCCTTTGGGGTCGTCCCCTTATTACTCCCCCCGTTTGGACGCGAATCCATACGTTTACACAAAACCTGCCAACCCCTTCCTCCGAGAAGACTTAGCAGGCGGTTCCAGAAACTATCCGCCACCCGTTCAACCGAAAATCCAACCCTACGGTGGTCCAAACCTTCCGCAACCTCCCAGGCAACCGCCTCAAACCAAACAACTGCCAAGCCAAGCGCCCACACAACCCCCAGGATTTACCAAGGTCCATGGAGGCGCCGAGGATGGGATATCAAGGGTTCACGCGGTTTTAGATTACGACGATCCGGATTATTATGACGACGGGGAGGTACACGATAATCCCCTGCACGTTACCCCCATTCAGGGACCTATTTACGTCAAGAATGGGTCTGTGCCTGTGGTACCGCTGTATTCATACCCAACGGTCAACAATGGGACTTTCGTTCAAATACCGGTAAGTCAGCTATTTAATATTTCCAACTTTATATCATTATTCTACCCTATCCTTTAATATAAGGATAATAATCGTCGTACTCCCTGTATACTATATGAATAAAATATCCAGTCCACTTATTATGATTATTTACGTTACATTCGGTACCTTTGTCACGTCCATCTATTATTAGACACAAAACACACCATCGTTACATAATAAATACGACAGATATACCTAAATAATAACAACAATATTAATGGAAGTGAAAATCCCAGTTTTTTCTTTTCAGTATTAGATATCGCGCAGCCTTAGATTGTAATACTTTAATAACTAATACTGGTTGGCGATCAGCGACGAAAGTTTAACGTTCTGACCTTAAAATTGTTGTAAACCGTGTGTGTCATTTCATTACCGTCACTCTTACATGGCTTTATGACTAATTTGCCAGTAGGTGGTTTTATAATAAATATTGTCACTGTCACAAACAAATAAACAATTGCATTTTAATGTGCTAAAACTAAAGAATTTTGATCCAATTCCTTACAACTGAGTATGCGTTAATTTACGCGATTGATTTATAGATATTTGACATTAATCTAATCTTGTTTCTGTTTCTAACATGTCTTTAACTCCACTCTTTCTAATACCTTCTCATTTGTAACCTCTTCTATCCATAGTCCATCTTTGTTTTATGACCCTGCCTAAATTTTCACTGTCACATCAAGATCAATTTCGTTACTACGTAGATGTACCAGTCTATTTCAAAAGGTTATTACATAAACTGTATCCCAGAAAGCAGATCATCGTTCATTTCTTGTTGAAGGCCGTCACCGAAACAAATGTATCTTTTTCTAGCTATTAGCCTGCTCTTTATAAATAAGTTATTTTGGAGCAATTAAAATAGTTTCGCTTACGCGTTAAATTAGAAATTTGACTATGGCCTCATCGTCAATGTCAAGCCATCCATAAAAAAATAAGAACAGCGTACATTTTTTCCAAGAATTTTAAAGGAATTAACTTTCCCTTTTATTCTAATGATGTTAAGAAGAGTTTTGGCCTTACACTTCATCATCATAAGGTCGTCAGTCCTAAGACTGGTTGGACACGCACCTCCACTCCTTCCTATCCTGAGCTAGTCTTCGCATTTTCCTAAACAACCCACATCCTTAACTATTTGTGAAGAGTAATCTAATCTAGGTCTATCCCTACCCCTCTTAACACCCCTTTCTACCTCTAGTATGTTTCTGGCCAAACCTTCATGCGTGAGAAGGTGTCCTACCAACCTATCTCGCCTATAGAGTCCTCTGTTCTCCTATTCTTTCTAATATCTAATGTTTGTCGTCGGTGGAGATACTTAGTCATGATTTTTCAAAATTTTTAACTATGAATAATTTCTTTTTTTCCTACTGTAACATACCATGGACAGAATTTTTTAAGATCAAGTTTAGTTTTAGACAATTGATATTATAACCGGTTCCGTTTTCCTTCTCGAGATTCGGAACCCTAAAAAGAGAAACTAAAATTACCGAATTACTAATTCTAAGTACACACATTCTTCTAATTTGTGTCACGTCCCAACCCAAAAACAAAGGAAAGATGGTGTTTGCTGGCCACATTTTCAGTTTTCTGTTACGTAGTTAGTATAGGTACTCAGTAGTAGCGCGATCAAGTGAATTAACAAAACGACAGACAAGGTCTTTAATTAGATAGAAATTTACGTATATTCCGTATTCCCGAAGAGTGTGTCGTGAAAGTTTTCGTGTTATAATAGTCAATAAGCCATCCAATAGTCATACGACCTCGTAAGTGACATAACGAAAGCGTTTCCTAGATTTGGACACGGTTGCCATGTCTTGGGAAACTTTTCTATACCTGTGTAATTTAGAGCCAGCTTAGAGAAAACGGGGCTTTAATTCAATTCTACACAAAATTTAGGGAATTTTTAATAACTGAGGAACATATTGAATCAACAAAAGCATAAAAACTAAAGACAAACAAGAGATTCCAAAATCCACTTGAAAATCATAACAGTTGGATTCATGTGATTCCCCTTTGTTGGCTGCAGTGACGATATATACTTTTACCGACATATTGCAAAAAAACATGTAAACGTAAATACTGAAAATATATAAATGTAGCGCGACCACAGAAACGGTATTAATCTCACCCCAAGGTAGTTCCGATATGCCCCGTAGTAACGCTCGTAAGGGCGCCACGCGGAACTCGGTCCTACCAAGAGCTAGCACGTCCCTACCATCGTACCATTGCAAGCAACCCTCTCCAGTAAAATCACCCCGAGGCGCACTAACCTATAGAACACAGTTGTTCATCTTGTTCTTTCGTCTAAAAGATTTCTTCTGGAACATTAGAGTGGCATTCTGAGAGAGTTTTGCAGCACTGAGTGACTGCCTATTTGGAAACCTGTGTTTAGGGTTTTGACTGACTTGTATTTGCGACTTCTGATTAAACTTAGTATAGAGTTGGTAACACGTTGTAATTACATCCCGAGTCCTTTTGTGTTTTATATAAATTTTAGTGTTTTTTCTTTTTTTGAAATAAAGTTTGTTTTGTTAAAGGAAAAACTAGTACATCTTTATTCACCCTTACGTAAAGAATTTTAGATAAAATGTGGTTGTCCGGTTGTGGAAAGGAAATCTAGGGAAATTTTAGCAATAAGTCTACGGAATAAAAAAAACATCTGGCAGTCCTGGATTTAGACAATATAGTAGGACAGTGTAAAGAAGAAAAAGTACGTTTACGTTAGTAAATTTACATGCATACGGTGGTATATAATATTCTTGAATAGCACCTCTTGTATTGGTCAAATATAATCGGCCAAGTGCAATAGGATTTCGTAATGTTGACAAAAAAAGTATCTATAAAAGTAAATAAACAAGTTTTTTATGCAATCCTGTAAATATTACACTTATTGTGTGTTACTGGGCCTAAATTTAAATTTGTAAAACGCGTTTTTGGAGAACATTTTTAACAGTAGCTATTTCTTTCACCACAAATTTACTACAAAGTAGCTGCAAATCATATTATGTTTATATGAATATGTAATCTGCCAGAATGATACACGTTAAATGAAGATAATTTTTAGGGTTCCCTTTCTCTACCTATGTCTAAAGTAAAAATGGAATTTTATAATATCACATTCACGAGAGATCTTGTTCGTGTTTGATATTTTTTCCAAAATTTTAGATATGGCATTTCCAGAAATATTGTTGAAAATGTTCCCTAACCGAAATTACCGAATCTACCAATTCTATCCATTGCCCAAAATGAATCTAAAAAGACTTTTACTATGCAATTATAACAAATAATTAGTTTCTAGCTGAATTCCTTTGGAGACTTCAATGGTAAGTCAAGACAGTAACCCGAAAATAATTTTTTCTCGGTTCTGCTTGACATAAAAGAACAATCCGAACTAACCCAAAAAAATAGATTTTGATATCTATCTGTCTATGTATATTCATTAATTTTGGTTTTAAATCAATTTCACAATTTTTGTTAAGTAAATGAAAGCGTAGGCATGTGACAATCAAAAAGATCAAGGTAAAATGCCTTCTTTTGACAGTTTCTACGAAAAATGATTATGAAAAACAACTTGTCCATTGGGTGGAGAGGGGTCTAGCTTGGCGTTATAACCCCCTACGTAGGGGTCAAAATTTTGCGTTACGTAAGTTACAGAGAGCTCCTGTCCGTGTTCAAAAATATACTTCAATGTTAATTTCATGTCTTTTTGTGTTAAATGTTGTTGAAAATAATTATGTGTAATACCACAAAAATTATGGATAAATGGCCTACAAACGTTGCTGTTTACTTGGGGAATTCCCATGTATTGAACAAGTTACTCCAGTATGGTGAAATGGTTAATGATAATATAGCATGTAGGAACTATTTATTATGTGGCAATATTAATGACTGTCGATAAGTAAATTAAAAAGCGAATGAACGCAATAGTAATCAAAAATATCGGGGCAATGTATTAAGTAGATACTAACAATAAGCACCTAATATAATACTGTTAATTACTATATTCATTTCCTCAAAAGTAAAAGTTAATTTAAATTTTATAACTGTACTTACGTGGTTACTGTTGTAGACGATATCAAACATATCGCCGCTGATTATTAATATTTAATAACAGTTATTAACATTTTTTTTAGAAATATAAAAGCCCGGACGGGGAGTCCAAATTTAGATAAATTCAAATAGAGAACACCATCGAATTCTGGCTCTATCAAGAACCACCTACTATAAAGTACGCATTTTCAGCAGCGATAACAATTCAAAAGCTTTTAATATTTAATCAAAATTTAAAAGGAACTAAACAAATTTTCCTTTTTTTAGAAAATTAGAAACCAAAATGACAAACTATTTAGAAAATACTACAAACGGCACAGTGAACGCCATCTGTAGCACGATGCTACATTTTAGGATTACGTATTTTTCAACAAGGTCCACTTGTGTGGATATCTACTTGCTGAAAACGAATCCTGGCGTNCTCTATATCCATACAAAATATCTATCAAACAAATAAAATTAAAATTTTCTTTTGAAAAATGAAACCATTCCATCAGTATTTTCTTATGACGTTGTCACGTTCGACTGTCGTCAGTAAACCGACTTTACAGACAACCGATTTTTTTTTATTAATTCCGAATATCACAACTTCAATGCATTTAAAAGTTTCTTAAGTAAAATATTGTGGATAGATAACCAATTATACACTGCAGTTTTTATTTAAAAAACATTTTACCTATTAGACAACCATGTAGATGGATTGGCTCGTGGGTTTTAAATAAACCATTAATTATTTATTAGGTACATTTTATAAGGTTATTAAATATCGCATGTCTTTAATATTTAGCATCCGATACTTCAGAATAATTCATCTATAATCTATCTAATCGTTTGGAAAATTCTTAATCTTACAATTTCGTAAAACATTAATTAATACTAAGTATGTAAAATTTGTTTATTCGCGTAAACAATTTTAGAAATTCTTTGTG